AAATAAAAAAACTCTTTCATGTTTAAGTCTTTCAAGTCGAGCTAAATATTATTTTCTACATGTTTTTAATAGATATTTTTATATACCATTGGATAGAGTTCAACAAGCTCTACAAAAATATGAATATTTAAAAAAATTGAAATCTTGTATCCAATATAAAAGTCGAGTGAAACCACGCAGACTATTAAAAATCTTATATATCTTTCATGAGATGGTATGCTTCACCCTTCCCCACCCACATAGTGGTTCCAGAAGAGCCACTGATAAAATAACTTTATAAATAGAACATTAGCCTGCCGAATATGCCAATCGTGTGGCCTAATCCATCGAATGTCCTGTTTCTGGAGTGAGGCGGTTTGATTGATATAAAAATCATGTGATGGAAAGTGAGAATTGAACGATATCATAAGACTTAATGTTTTTTTCTTTGACCACATTATTGATTGGACAGAAACAGCATTTATCTCGTACTGTCGAACTGATAGGAAAAACGCAACGAGTGAACCGATAAAAATTAACATAAAAAAATGCATGCTTTTTTTTACACTTATTGTCAAATTTAAGCCTATTTTACTCTGAGCCATTTTGTAACGTCTGGAGGAATTTAATTCATCATAAATACTATTTCGACTTCTCATGAGTTGAGGTTTATAACGCATATATTAACTTTGTTCTTGATTACTCTCCATCTATCTAACAGTGACTACATGATCAATTGTATTCCTTAGTATGTATAATTCGCGGAGTTATCATGAAGCTTTCGAAACATATCTAATTCAGCAGTGGACTTCTTCATCGATTAATATCACACAGAAATTCCAAAAGACCTCTATCGACTGCAAGTGGAAAACATTTTGTTTAAAAAATTTCGAATTTTTTCATTTTTTTTCAAAATTATTGATTTTGTAAGTCATATATCTCGAAGGCAAAGCAATGAAACAAAATATTTTCCACCAATCGATAGCTTGTGAAGTTTCCTACAAATAATGTCTTGGGAGTTTTTCAGTCTCATTCTTCCTTTATTTTCTGTGATCGTTCTAAAAATGGGTCATATATGACCCATTGGAGGGTAAAGGGTTAAGTTTCAAAAACTTTAGTTAATCGACTGTTAATTGACGTTTCAAGATGCAGTGTCACATACTGAAGCTGAAAATAATTCTTCTGAGCTACCCAAATAGATGGAACAGTCAACCAGTTAATGCTTTTGAAAGATCAGCTTACTCTCTATAATATTTGATACAAGAAATTTTTATTAGTCTTTTCGGTTTCTTTCAAGTTTTATATTGGAAATAAGATCAAAAATTTTTAAAATATTCATATTCTTGTAGAGCTTGCCGAACTCTCGTGAATCTTGTAAGAATATCTAAAAAACCATATGATGCTTAAGATTGTACAAGCATATTTTGTTTTTGTAGAAGATGTAACGTAAAATTTTTTACTCAAGATTAGTAAAATCACTATAAAATCGTAATAGAGTTTTGTATTTCGAACTATTTCTTTTTCAAATGATAGTTCTAACGTCTTCCTCTACAAAATGACATAATTTGATCAATAACTTCATATAATTTGTTATAGATTTGATTGATTTACCGGGTGAGGTCGAAGCTTTTGGACACCCCTTTAGGTTAAGATAGATAAGGCTAGGAAGGATTGACTTGCCGGCAGCTCTGATCAGGAGAGTGTGACCTCCTGAGTGAATAGTGCAGAAAATTTTTCATTAAATGATATATGTGTTGCACCGATAAACAAGGGCATAGGGTTAAAAAGACATCCACAAAGTTACGATATATGAGTTCGAAAGCTGTTTCATAGTTTGTGAGACTTGCATATCGACAGATCATGATTAGGAGGTCTCAACCTATTCAAGCGATCAATGGATTCTGCAGCAAGTAGTATTAAAACTGCTGTTAAACAGTAAATGACAGCAGTGAATTACGATAAAAGAAGCTCAAGAAAAACAGATCCAAATATACTGCAGGAAGCTATAAAAAATGATTCCTAATGGTTGTGGTGCGTAATCAATATTATTATTCTACTGATACAAAAACATCTCCTGTTGATATTATATTCAAAAAGAAAAGAAATATGAACCCTAAAATCATGATTTTGATGGGCATGTCATCGAAAAGAAGTTCGAATGTATATGTAACAGAGATCATCACAGAGCATTCGAACTAAGGTCGAATGTGGAATGAGTTGATATCAAAACATAAAATTCTTATGATGTTTATGTTCAGTGCTCATACCTTCTTTTTGTATATAATTTCAACTTTTAGGATTTTTTCTGATTTTCTTTATCGATTAAAATTCATCGATAAATTTTAATTGATAAAAATTAACAATAGAAAAGTAAGACTTGACGATTAAACATGATATTATAATTAAGTAAAAGGATTCATGGTTGCATTTAGGAAACGATTTCAAGTGCCTTTTTATGAAGCAACAGTATCATGACAAACTATTTTGCCCTACTCTCGGGACGAGACATTAGGACACTCTGTCCTGATTATGGTTTCTAATATGTAGATCACAACAATCAAGCGGTGAGTTTTAATTTTAAATAGATGAAACTCAAGCTGAGCTAATCCTCAGGTATATGCAATGATGTTTATTATGAATATCTTCTATTGAAAATTAATATAAACCTTCAAAATAAATGTCGATTCATATGCTTGATGATGAACTCTGCTTGAGTTCGTGAGCTCACACTTGTATTGTAACAAGTGAATTTTATAGCAATTCTCTATTTCATGTATTTACAATCAAGCGGTTGGCAAAGGCGTAGTTTTTTTTTCATGAATGTATACTTAAAAGACTAATTTCATTTATTCAAAAATATCATCGAAGTGAAAATTTTATATATATACGTGCCTTCGAGCACGACCAATTGAAATTGTTTGGACTCTGTGAATTCAAAAAGTGAAAAAAATTAATTGGAAAGCGAAAAATTTGGATTTATTGATTCGTTGGATCAAGTAAAAGATCAAAGCACTTAATAAAACTACCCTACAGGAGATGATTCAAGCTGTTCGGAAGAAACTTCGATAGATGTTACATGAAGAGATATATTTAGTTTCTTTTTTAATGAAATTTCTAGCCCCTCTCACTAATACTTAGTAGCCTCTGGTGTACCAGTACTATTAGATGGACTTCATATTTCAGTCGGTCGACATGATTTGTAAATGATTTTCCAGGGTTTCTCGCAATGTCGTATCTCTGTTTTTTCTATTTTGCAATTTTTATCATCTAGTGTTCTTAAGAATGTCTTTTAGCTTTATTCATAGATGTATATTTGTTTTCAAAAAATACAAAAACTAAATGAAAACCCAAATATTCGCTTAATAAGCATAATAAAAGAAAATAGAATTATTTTTTTATTGAACTCTATCGGTAAGACATGATTTTTTTAGCGGATCAGCAAGGATTGTATGTTTAAATTAATTTTAATTATAAGAATAAATCAAATTAAAACAAAAATATTTCAAAAAGCCTGTAAAACATAGCCTTTTCCGAGAAATATCAGTTTTCAAGAATATTAGCCACCATCTTCAAAAATTATATATGAACTGAATTTTTTGCATTGTTTCTTCGAAACATTTCAGGTCATGGAAACTTAGCAGAGGAAAGAGTTTAGAAAAAATTTTTTTCTGTCGTTACAAAACGGTCAGGTAGTACGAGCAACCAACTTACGGAGGGAATCGTCGTTAAACCTGATTTTTTATTTTCCTTCTAATTAAAAGAAACAATGATAAAACAGCATTTGAAATTTTTGTAAAGACTTCTCCATCACATATTACTTGATGAGTCAATATTAAAATTAGAAATTCCTTGTGCATTATGTTTCTTTTTCTTCTCGTATCATTTTGTTTATGAATGTAATGTGAAAAGTGTAGACTTATTCTGATGACGCTTCTTTTTTCTGATACGACATTCATTTCATTACTTTTGCATCATGTGTTGTAATATAATGATCAAATAGATATTAGATGCGCAAGCATATGAACTTGCGTGAGCAAGCATGTAAACTACAAAATATTTGCAGTTCGCATCTCGATGTCAGTTAGTACATGTGTACCATGTTTTGCCTCAAAAAAGCTAAAACATATGCCTATGCACATTCTGTTATTTTGAATTTATGAGCAAAAATTGCTGACATTTCAGATAACTTGCGTGTTTGTCTATGAGATAGGCCGACCAGGAAAATATGTTGCGTGTTGACCCGAGTTTCTTAAAATCTCTAGTATCAACACTGTTGTTTAAAATTGCATGTTTGCTAGGGAAGTAGATCAATAATATATTGTGTACCTATCGCGTTTATGTTAGTTCGTCTCGTGTTGACGAACACAATTAATTACTTTTTAATGTAATATTCTTTTGGTTAGCAATACTTACAAGAAATAATTTCTATTCGAATGTGTTGAATTAATGTTCTCTTTTTTGAAGTGTTTCTATATATATATGTCATAGAATCTTTCATTATGAGATATTCTCGTTTCATTTGAATGTTGAATATTGAAAACTGTAGTAGATTTTTTCCATTTTCTAGAAAATGGATCCATAGTGTACGTGTAAAAAAAAACAAACGCAACTATTTTGATCTTTTTTTTTTGTTTCAAAATTTCATTACCTTAGGCATTTATTTAGAACAGGATTTATTAAACGTGCATAGGTGAATATAAGTTTATGAAAATGCGTATTTAAAAATGTATTTGACATGATATTTTAAGAATATAAATGCTATTATTCTGGTATGATGCATAAAAATAAATTTTTAGACACTAAAAGAGGATTTATTCTTCGTTGAATCTTTGCCGGAAGTATTAAAGAAAAAAAACGAGAAAGAAAAAAAAGCTTTTCATGTGCCTATGCTCATGTCATTTGAAAAGAAAATGGTGAATTTTACACATGAGCATGGAGATATTGCATGGGTAATATACAATTATATATATAGATATAGATATATTCCATAAAAGTGTCTGTCTTTATGTTTGATTTAGGTAATGACATCCACTGGTTTAGTATACATGATGACACCTGCATTAGCTTGTTTTTATGGTGGTTTAGTTGAAAGTAAAAATTTTCTTAATCAATTATTTTTATCAATTGTTTGTATGGCTATTATTCCTGTTCAATGGTGTTTATTTGGTTATTCATTTACTTTTGGTCCAGGAAATTCTGCATTTGGTTCATTTGAATATGCTCTAGATAGTAAAGTAGGTCTTGTTAATTTATATGGTGAAAATGTCGACGAAATAAATCCATTGGCTGTACCATCATTAACATTTAGTGCTTTTCAATGTGCATTTGCAATAATTACACCAGCATTAATTAGTGGTGCTGTTGTAGGTCGTATGAAACTAATTCCTTATATGATTTTTGTTTTTCTTTGGACAACATTTTGTTATGATCCACTAGCAAGATGGATTTTTTTTAGTCAAGGTTGGCTTCATCAAATGGGTGTTATTGATTTTGCTGGAGGCTTAGTTGTTCATATGTCGAGTGGAATATCAGGATTAGTTGCTGCATTTATTTTGGGATCTCGTGCTCAATTTGATCCAGATGTAGTCAATTCCGGTCAAACAAACCTTCCATTTACTATTGTAGGTACGGGTCTGCTCTGGGTAGGGTGGATGGGATTCAATGGCGGATCAGCACTTTCTGCGACAGGTAAACTTTCACTTTTTCTGTCAGACAAAAAAAACTTTTTGAAAAATTTCTTCTTCTATTTTTTAAACATATGTAATGCTTATTTGAAATATTATGTTTTTTTTTATAGGTAATGCTGCTTTGGCTATTGTAAATTCTAATGTAGCTGCAGCATCAAGTATGACGATTTGGATTATTTTGGATATTATACATGGTAAATTCAGAGGGCAAAATAATGCTTTTGTATCTATTCCTGGTGTTTGTTCAGCAACTGTTGTTGGACTTGTCGTTATAACACCATGTGCTGCTTATGTTCAACCAGGTTATGCAATTTTAATTGGTTCAATTGGTGGTGGTATTGTTCATTTATTTTTGACTGGCAAAAAACATTTTTTTCATGTTGACGATACTCTTGATGTATTTAGTTGTCATGGTTTAGGTGGTTTTATTGGAACTGTGATGACTGGTTTATTTAGTCAAACTGATGTTAGTAGTGATGTTAAAAATGGTGCCTTCTATGGTAATCCTATTCAATTAGGTTATCAATTATTGGGAATATTAATAGTTACTGCTTATTCATCTGCATGTACAATAGCAATTTTATTACCAATGCATTTTACAATGGGTATACGTATAAATCGATTAGATCAAGTTCGTGGTTTAGATAATGTTGCACATGGAGTCATTGATACAGAAGCAATACAAAAACTTCCACCAATAAAAGTACCACCAATCAAACAAAAACCACAGGATGCAAATGCTGTATCGATAGTTACTATTGAATAGCAATAAAAAACGACTTCTTCTTTTTTTAAATATGTGTTGTATCATATTAGCGCTTGTTTTTGGTGTTGAAAGGTTTTGAGCTGTGTACTAAATATAAATTTATGTATATTGGTGAATATTCTTGATTTTTCTTGATTGACTAGTTAAGAATCTTTTTAAGCTTGAAATTCGAACATATTTTGTTTGACACTGACAGAAAGTAGAATTTTTGTTTTTAAGTTTGAAATGAAGAGAATTTTATCTCATTATCGTCAACAAAATATGAGTCTGGAAAAATTGTTTGAACGTCAAGTAAGATTATTGTCTCACGTTAAAGAGAAAAATAACCTGATGTCTATATATCTACATGTATATAAAATAAACGTCTATGCCTCATTTTATTATGTCTACCTGTCGTCATTACACTTTCTTTTATGTTGAGTTAAATGAAAAAAGGAGAATATTAAGAGTAATGTGTTTTTGTTAATGTAATAACGAGTCAAAGTGTAATTGGTTTTTGAAAATTTTCAAAAAACTAAAATCATCGAAACCAAGAACATTATTCTCACGTGAAGAAGAATTTTTATATTAAAAAAAAATGCGTAGTTTGAATATAAATTATTTATTCGCGTCATGTGTTTCTTCTTGATTGAACATGTCAAATTAATAGAATAAGTAACAACTTATTATTTTTTTTATGCTATCATTTCATTGGTTTTCCACTCTGTTGCTTTACGTTTCATCTTATGTTGCATGACATTAGATATACTTTTATTGTAATAATCTGATGCTTTATTTAATACATCTTGTTCGAAATTTCAAGTGAATATAAAGCAATAACGAAAGAAATTATTTCTGATAATGTATGTCTAGTAGAGATTGAACGTAAGTCTAAAAAAAAATCCGCTAAAAATTTCAAAAATATAAGAATCTTATCTGGTGAGATAATTGTTGCTTCATCGACCACAATTCAACCCGTATAAATCATTCAACATAGTTAAAATATGCATATCTGCAAGATACATCATACTGAAGAATTACTGAGTGTATTTTGAAATTATTTTTCATATCATGCAACTAGTTATATTAATCTCTATCATTTTCACACTAACAAGATAATCGACTGAAATATTTCATCAATTGTAAACCCGTATTTTGGATATATATAGAATAGAGACTGACCGTTCTCAAAAAGAAAAAAAGATTATTCTTTATGATAACTATATTTTTGGATGCTATACTATGCCATATTATGTCATAGAAAATTTTCAATAATTGAATAACTAAAAGCCGTTGTTGGTTAGTAAATTGTTCGAATTGAAAGTTCTTCTGCACATTCAGTTGATGAATCATTTATTAGATGGTTTTTCATTAGGATAGGTTGAGATTTACAATATATATATATATATATATACATTAGACATCTAGTCTCTTGCAATAATATAGATACAAATAACATAACATTCGTAAGAAGAAATGCAATAAACACATAGCTCGTATATTAATAACGTCTATCACGTTTGAAGTAATGACTCAAATTATTATCTCTATAACTCAACACTCAAAATAATCTCTTCTTCATCTTAATGTATCACTGGCTTCTATCGGCTTAAAAATTTTTTCATTATTTTCTCGCTGTTTCCTGCGGTAAACATTTTTTCATTCTGATTTATTTTCAACTCTGTCTACAACTATTGTTCGATGTTTGTTCACTTGATCGTCTTGAAAATCTAATACGAAATTAATATTTTTTAATGCTAGTTTCTTTTTTGTAGATGTAGTTTTTTACTCTCAACAAATTTACTGCATAAATAACGGGTGCGGCAGAATAAATGGCCCTCTCAGTATTTTAACTAGGACATTTTTTCTTTTTGTCCTTTAGAGCTGATTGTTTTTCCAAAAGATGCGCCGTTAAATTCTCTACAAAATCATAATCAAACTTATTTTTGTAGAAAGTGAAGAAAGAAAATTAAGCAAAAATTATTCAACACATAAAAAATATCTAACTTTCCAAACTAGTTGATGTTGCATAATGAATGGCCAGTATTTTGGCGTTTGCGTCTCTTTTTTGATCATCTAGCATGTCTATTTTGAAACTAAAGTATACCATAAGATGCAGCTTGAAAAGCTCTACAAGTTACATTTAAAATCTTATTTTATATATGCACCCTAGTCGAACTTTTTTATTCAAGCGCTTGCCAAGACTTGAGTTCAAGATGTGTCCATAGCGCATGACTTTCTGTTCACAGACAAGCGCTTGAACGCTTGCATGAGTCATGTGTCAAGAACAAGACACTCATGCGCAGGACTCATAAAGATTCTATGAAGGAATAGTTTGAAAAGAATCAATTTACATAAAACAACCACGGTTTTTCTATCCAAGATGCACTGACGATCCTTAGAATTTACACTATTTAAATCTGATGATTGATGTGGATTGTCTTTGCGTTTTCGCTCTTGAAATATTTGCTTTTTTTAAGGATGAATATTTATTAAAAAATCGGTCATAGTAAACGTTAAACTGACAGAAAAAGACAGAACAAAAATTAGTTTGGAATAATATTAACTGGATTATTTTCCGTGTCTCCTAATGGAGACGTATTGCTAATATTCGTATTGGCACACTGTAAAATACCTTTTTTTTTACAGTGTACCGTGCCACATGGAACATTTTCATTTAGTAGCTGCTAGTTAGCGACGTCTATAGAATTTGCAGCTAAAACGGGAAAAACAAGTAACGTCTCTATTATGCATAGATTTAATACTTGCTTGATCAAGAAACGTAAGCGCTTGAACAAGAACTCAAGTACATGAGTAAGAATAATAAGCCATGAAGCAAGAATCGAAAGCACTGGAGGTTTTTTTGTTATCTCAAGTCTTGACTCAAGATGTGTCCATAGCGCATGACATTCAGGCTCAAGAAGCTCAAGAATGTCATGCGCTTGCAGAAAAAAGTTCGACTAGGGGCATTCTTTGTTTTCAAAATGGACGAAATTCTGTACGACCAATTTTCGATGCTGCAAACAGGATCATTTGTTGGTCGCACAATATTTTGCTTATTTTAGAAACAAAAGGTGTACATATATAAAATAAATTGTTCTTTGTAAATTGTAGAGCTTTTCGCGCTGCATTTTGTGGCATATTTTGTTTTCTTTTATTGGAGCCTATTAAGTGATAAAAAGATGAATTAAGAAAAAACGAATTCGTAGTGTAACAAAAAATGATCTTGTTTGGAGCGTCAAAAATTGAGCGCACAGAATTTTTTCCATTTTATAAACAAAGAATGCATATATAAAATAAGATTTTTAATGTAACTTGTAGAGCTTTTCAAGCTGCATATTATGGTATACTTTGTCTTTAAAATAAACATGCTGAATAATAAAAAAAGTGATACAAACATCAGCCATTCATTATGGAACATCCGATAGCTTGGAAAGTGGGGTCATTTTTATGTGCTATATTATCTCCTTTTAATGGTTTTCCCATAAATTTCTACAAAAATAAGTTTGATTATGATTTTGTAGAGAATTTAACGGCGTATCTTTTGGAAAAACAATCAGCTCTAAAGAACAAAAAGCAAAAAAGTTATAATTAAAATACTGAGAGGGCCATTTATTTTGCCGCACCCGTTAACTTGTTAGATTAGAGTCAAAATCTTGTACTCTTCCAGAATATATACTTACAATTTTTCAGTAACGATTTTGTATAGTATACTAACGGAAAAATGGTTATTTTTCCGTTTTGTGCTTTTTCAGTGTAGAATGACCCTTGGTCACAATTCGGCCACTCTTTCGTCATTGTTTAGAGTAGATATCACCTTCCAGTACAATATATTTACAGAACTTATTTGATGTAGGCTTGCATCTAGAAACAAAGGTTTGTACTTTTGAGAAAATTTTTTTTTTGAACATTGTCAATGATTTGAGATTACTGTTGACGTAACGACTTCATAAAATTAATATAATTTTTTCATTTGTGTTGTTTATAAAAACAATTCAAAAAAATTCTATGAATTTTATGTCACTTGTATCCATGCGGTTAAAGAGGTGGAAAACTCAAGTTCTACCGCAGAATAGTTCTAGATGTCTAGTATATATGCTATGAATATCAATAAATTTTACTGGAAAAGAACATACAAGAAAAGCATATTGCTTAAAGAGGAATCAAAACTTATTAGACATTCTTTATAGAAGAGAGCAAGGGAGAGACGATAAAGGTTAGTTGAAGAGTACTCGAAGGCGATATTAATATCAGCGCACATAGTCTCTAAATATACAGACGATATGTGATCCGTATTATAAATCATTATCATTAAATTCTAAAGATTCTTTTTCCTAATTAATTTTATATCCGTGCATCAATAAAAACAAGTTGTTTTCTTGCATGAAAATTACTACATCAAAGAACTTGTTTTTTGTTCTTCTATATATAAATATAGTAGATAATAAAAATGTACTTTTACACTAAAAAGTAATTATTCACCCGTCGACAAGAATATTCAAGCTTTATTAAATTTAAATAGCATCAATTCATTGATGATGATCCTAGTAAAAGTAATCGTCAGTAGTATTCGTACTATTGAATGTTACATCCATGTTATTTAGCTAATAAATTGAAGAACAAAAGTTACAAATATATATAATTAAAAGATGAAGATTATAGTTATCAATTTGTTTTGAAACTTTTTTCTTTATCATTTACAGGAAAGAGTCTGAAATGATTAAAATATTTTGAATCCATATTTTGCCTAGTATTGGGAGATCAATATACCAGAAAAAAAAACTTCGAAAGGGTTCACACCATTGTCGAGTGTTAACTGTAGCGAAATTCTAAAATCGATACTTTCAATCAAATCTTATTATCAAGTTTTGACCTGAAACTTTGCCTACATGTAGCTCTTACTTAGACTAGTTAGTGCACAAAATTTTAGAATCTTCAATTACAAGATCAATAATTTGGAACTCTCGTGTATCATGCGACAAAATATAAGTTGATTTAGTTACAACACAATAACGATATTC